ACATATGGAAGGCTGTACGGATTTGTGATTTTCCTACTGATAGGGACAAATATGCGTCTCGCAACATTTTGTATTGCCACATATGTGCAAACAATATGTGGCAATACAATGTGCAAACAATCTGTCATGCCAAATACGATGATGAGATGTTATCTGATGATTCACAGGTTGGTCCATCACCCAATGGTTTTATTATGAGTTGTTACATTTCACATTGTAAATGTTTATAGCCAGTTTTATGTTTTAATCTCTATATTGCACAGGGTTTTGCTAATTTGCAATTTCACATTTGTTTCGAAGCCGTTGCATAATAAGCAACGGTGACCAGCAATTACATGACACTGACAAATTATGCATCTTGGATACTTACCACCTCCATTCTTGTAGCAGAGATAAGGAAATCGCCAAACGTTTCCCAGACCGATGATCTCTCCAGCCACAGAAAGTACATACTCTACTTTGTTGGTCCACTGGCCTCTTTCTTCAAGCTCATCCTTCCCCTTCCGTGGATTTTCCTTTGTCTCTGGCACAAGCACAGTCCCATTGAGCTCCACATCCCAACTCTTTTTGTTCCCCATGGCCCTGAAAGTTTAGGAAAGAATGAGAGAAAGGAAGATCACATCTCGATACAAGATGCTGGCATCATAGGATGCTCATTCAGCATTCTGAGCAGGTAGCCTGGAGTGCTGAAAGTAACCAAAAAGAAAACCTGTGAATTTGTTACTTGGAAACGAACAGAGATGGTCCAAAGATGGTCCGAAACAGAGATGGTCCAACAGAGATGGTCCATTGCTGCATGCAATAGAGCAGCAAGTGATACCTCCCTTTCTTTCAATCAAGATTCTGGTCTCCAGCCCTTCGGGTTATTTCATTGACAGGTGGATCCTTTAATTCTTTTAATAAAAATCCCACAAACTCCTCTTTTCTTTTCTTTTTTTTAAACAACATTTTTTATTTTTTGTTACATAATTAAAATTCTTTTGTAGACAGAGTATTGTCCTGTTTTCCCCCTTTAACATTTTCACATATACATAATTCATTTTACATTATATTTCCATTTCCAATTTTAGCTTTTAGTATTTCTTTTCTTCTCATCTTTTCCAACTTATAATTTTTATTGTATACATAGACAGTGTCCTTTTTTCTTCCCTTTTAGAAATGAAAATAAATTTATCATTCCCTTTCCATCTATTTTCTGTAAGTAACATATATCTTCAAATTCAGGTTTTTTTTTTTTGTAATAAGCATTTAACATAATTCATTTACACACTTAAAGATATTAGTATAGTTCATACACACATCTTAAATGGATACATACTATTGCCACGATTAAGATATTTCATTTCATTTTACTAGTCTCCTGTTCCTAGATTTTTTTTCTCTTTTTTTTCTTTTTATATGTCTTATATCTTTTTTTCTGAATTTTTTCTATCACTTTTCAATAGATTGTTTGGATGGTTCTCCCCAGAATTTTTCTTTTCTACTTCCTATTGTTTCTCTATTTTTGTCTAATTTCTTTTTTGGATACCATTTTCCTTTCTTCCTCTCTATTCTTTCTGTAAATCTCAATAGCATTGTCCAACTGAGACAAACTCCTCTTTTCTGTGCGTAAAAATATAACGCTAGAAAATTAGACAACTGGCATGATATATCAACCAGAAAACCCACAATTGCTTAAAGCGTCTGATTCATTCTGCTTAATTGGTCATGCAATTTTCTTTTTCCTGGCTCTGTCCATATAAATTGCAATTCAGTTCCCATAATCCCCCAGCCAGCATGGCTTTCTGGCTGGAGAATCTGAGAGTAGAAATTGTCTTTGAAAATGACTTTGGGGCTGTGGCAGATACAGCACTTAAGATGTTGATTAATACCTATTCTGTACTTATGGTATTAGTCACAGGTTTCCATGTTCAGTTGAAAACTTTATCACATGTAAGCTTATATTGTAGCCCTGAGATCTGTCAGAAACAGCCTTGCCCAGTGTTATTGCCCTCATCCAATCTAAGCACCTAGATGAGGTCTCTAGATAACTACTGCAATGCGCTCTACATGGGGCAGCCCTTGAAGAGACTTCAACTCGTCCAGAATGCAGCCGCGTGAGCGATTGTGGGTGCACCTCGGTATACCCATGTTACACCTATCCTCCGCGAGCTGCACTGGTTACCGATTGGTCTCCGGATACGCTTCAAGGTGCTAGTCGTCACTTATAAAGCCCTACATGGTATTGGACCTGGGTACTTGAGAGACCGCCTGCTGCCAATTACCCTCCCAAAGACCCATTAGATCACACAGGGTTGGCCTCCTCCGGGTTCCGTCTACCAGCCAATGCCATCTGGCTACTACCCAGGGGAGGGCCTTCTCTGTGGCAGCTCCGGCCCTTTGGAACGAACTCCCCGCAGAGACTCGGACCCTCACCTCTCTCCAAGCATTCCGAAAAGCCGTTAAAACCTAGCTGTGTCGGCAGGCCTGGGGTTGATGAGTTCCCTTCCCCTCTCGACCTGTGTGGCTGTTGCTTATTTTAAATGCTTGTATTGTACTTTTGTGTTCCCTTTCCTCCTTGAGTTGTTTGCCGCCCTGAGTCCCGCTGGGAATAGGGCGGCATATAAATAAAACAAATCTCAATCTCAATTTCATTCTCGTGGGGGGATAACCTGTATAGCTTTTGCAACATGAGTGCTCATTCTCTGGAATACAGTCCCTACTAGAAGTATGTTTGGCCCTGACCCACCTCCTTTGCATTTCATCCTCATATAAAATTATACACGGAAGGATAACAGGTTCAAGTGGGTCATTTTAACTCTGTCTCTCCACCTTCTTCCAATTCTTTCTTTTTAGGTCACTCATTTTCCCTGTGTTCCAATTTCAGCTTTCCAAAGACAAATTATCTTTCCTAATTTGCATCTTCCACTGATCAGTGGAAATCATTTTCCAGATGTCTGAGAAACCTCTTATCTACCACCAACTCTTTTGCACTTTCTTTTCCATTTACTTTTCCATCAACAAATTTGCACTTGCTGGGCAAATCAGCCTTGTTGTGCCACAGTCACCTCATCCTGACTCTTTTGTCAAGAACTCCAGAGATCTTTCTTACAGACATGGTATCTGGCTAACCAGCTAAGCTGAAAGTTCATTCAGAGCAGATTCCTCCTCCAACTTATTGCCTCAGTAAGCTGAAGAGATTGAAAAACACCGTTTTCTAAAAGAATCTTAGTTGAGTTGTCACTCCAAGTTGTTACTACAAATGCAAATTATTCAGCACAATGGAGTTCCTTCTCCCCTCATATTGAAATGATTGAGATTAGCATCAGTTCATTGGCACATTAAGGATGAAACAAAGTAAATACACCTTACTATTTTAATTGCTGTAACACTATTACTGTTTTAATTGTTTATTTTAAGAGGATGCTAATATGATCTTTCTCATTGAATGCTCACATAGCAGGCCAACTGGAAGTCAATAGATTGCTGTCCCTAACTATATGATCTCTAGATTTATCTCCAAATCACCTTAGATTCTCCTCTTGGGAAATTTGATGTGCTATAAAGTGACGGAGCTGAAGTCTGCCTTCCCTTCACCATGCTGCTATAAATTTCTTGGCCTGCTTGGAGAATCTGAAATCTGAGATGCAGAGCCACAAATGCAGAAAGGCAGATTTTACACTGGAAGAAACCCCTAACAGTGCTAATAATTTAACAATTCTGCAGAGAAGTGAAGGATTTTTTCCCCCACTGGATGTGTGCTCAGATAGAGTCCAATCTGCATCTTATGGGAATACATTAGTTTGGCTTTTTATAGTGAAGAATATTTTGACTTATGAATTGGTTCCAACTTTCCATGGGGAAATGCCAGACAAACCATATTTTGACAAAATGATTAGTGGACCAGCGAAATGCCATGAACATAGTATACTTAGACTTCAGTAAGGCATTTGATAAAGTAGACCAAAACATATTTCTTGGCAAGATAGGAAAACATAGAATAGGCAGCATCACCATCAGATGGATTCGTAACTCATTGAGGTAGTCCTCAATGGAACTACATCTACATGGGGGGATGCATAGAGAGGGGTATTCCAAGGTTCGGTCTTAGGCCCAGTACTCTTCAACATCTTCATTAATGATGTTAAATAGATGAGGGGATAGAAAGACAAAACATCAAATTCGGAGGGGGGGGCAATGCCATCCTAAGCTACTTCAACAGAGGGATAGTATCAAGGTCACATTAGTACCTCTTTATACTGCTTTAGTAAGGTCACATTTGGAATACTGAATCTAGGTTTGGTCAATAGAAAAAGATGGTTAAGCTCTAGAAAGTGTGTAAAGAAGAGCAACAAAGATGATTAGGGGGCTGGAAGCTAAAGCATATTATGAACGGGAACTGGGTATGTCTAATGAAGAGAAGGACTGGGGTGACATGATAAAAACCTTCCAATATTTGAGGGTCTATCACAGAGAAGAAGTGTCTCCAAAGCACTTGAGGGCAGGACATAAGTAATGAATGGAAACTATCAAAGAGAAGTTCAAACTAGAATTAAGGAGAAATGTTGTGACAATGAGAACAATTAATCAGTTGAACGGCTTGCCTCCAGAAGCTTCACATGCTCCATCACTGGGCGTTTTTGAAAAGATATCAGAGATCCATTTGTCCAGAATGGTATAGGGTCTCCTGCTTGAGCAGGGGGTTGGATTAGAAGATCTCCAAGCAGTGGTGGGATTCAGCTGGTTTGCACCACTTCAGGAGAACCAGTTGCTAACTTTCTGAGCAGTTTGGTGAACTGGTTGTTTGAAGAAATCATCAGGGCAGAGAACCGATTGTTAAATTATTTGAATCCCACCACTGCTTCCAAGGTCCCTTCCAACTCTGTTATTCTGTATTCTAAATGAGGATAATGGAAGAGAGATTTCACAAGCGTAGGAATTAATACCAAGCAGTCGGGGAGTACAAAGTTCCTAATCAATGTTGCATGGTTTATATTTCTCCCAAAACAGGAAAACAGACCATCCACAAGCTCCAGTCCTGCAAAATAAAGGGCCTCCTTTCAAATCATTTGGCCCAGAACCAGAAAAAGCTGACTAAGCTCACAGAATATGCCAAAAATCCAACATCTAAGACATGTCCAGAGCTGATTTTTCAGCTGGGGCAAAGTCTTCACGTGGAAGGGTAGAACAGTAGAGGAGAACTGGG